GGCCTCAGACTGCTAGGCAGGTGCTCTACCACTGGACCATATTCTCAGGGTCCTTTTTACTGTTTATTTAGAGGCGAGGCCTCACTGTATTGCCCAGACTGGCCTTGTCCTTTCTGTCTTCCTGCCTTATCCTCTGGAGTAGCTGGGATTCCAGGCTTGTACCACTAGGCCCCGCCTTCTTTTTCTTTTCTTTCTTTCTTTTTTTTTTAATAAGGAAGCTCTTTGCCTAGTAGGCACTTATCTCACATGTGGTTGGTATTGAGGAAATGGGTGTTCTTTGCTTTCTATTGTTAGTCTGATGAGAATGAGGGTGGGGAGCCTTTTGAAAAAATATTTGTGTAAGGAGGAGAGAGAAGGCAGCTGAGCAGGAGCCGTCTGGAGCTTTTGACACTGATGGAGGCACTGAAACAGTACTTCCTCCAGGAGACAGGGACTTAGATATGTGGCCCGAGCAGATCCTTCGATTGGTTATTTAATTAATCTTTTTTAATGTAGATGAGGTTCTGGGCATTTCTCAATTCTGATAGTAGTCACCGGCTGTTAGATCATGGAGTGTCCGGCAGCTAGTAAAGGGACCGCACAGTCTGAGATAATCAGGTTAATGTGTTGGTTAGCTTTTGTCAACCAGACACAAGCTGGAGTCATCTGGGAAGGGGGAACCTCAGCTGAAAAAATTCCTCCACCAAATTGACCTGTGGGCGAGCCTGTGGTGAATGTTCTTGATTGATGATTAAGTGTAGGAGAGCCCAATTCATTGTGGGCCATGTTACCCTTGGACTGGTGGTCCTGGGGTGTGTTAAAAAGGCCGACTGAGAAAGCCATGGAGGTCAAGCCAATAGGCAATACTCCTCTATGGTCTCTGCTTCATTTCTTGTCTCCAGGATTCTCCCCTTGAGTTCCTGCCTTGATTTCCTTTCATGGTGGACTGTAAGCTGTAAACTGAAATATACCCTTTCCTCCCCAAGTCTTTTGGTCATGGAGTTTATCATAGGAATAGAAAAATATCTAGGACAGCTGTGGATCTGCAACATTTCAACTGCTTACACTGAGGGAGTTTTAATTAGCTAGTTAGTCTTGCAGAACTGTATGTATAAATACATGTGTGCATATGTAAAAACCAGAGGCTGGCAACAGATGTCCTCCTCCATCACTCTCCACCTTTTTTTTTTTTTTTTTTTTTTTTTGAGACATAGTCTCTCTGACCCTGGAGCTCATGGATTAGACTAGCCCAGCTGACCAGCTGGCTCTGCTGACCCTTCTGTCTCTGCCTCCCCAGTTCTGGCATGCATTACTGCACACAGGTTTTTGTTTTCTTCTTTAGTGGGTTCTGAGGATCTAAATGCAAGTCTTTGTGCTTGCATGGCAAGTCCAGTATACCTCTTACAGTTTACATAAGTGCACCCTCCCACCCAACTCCCTGCCCAAAGCTCTCTCTCGATCTCTCTCTTTTCTTTCTTTTTCTTTTTTTTTTCTCTCAAGACAGGGTTTCTCTGTAGCTTTGGAGGCTGTCCTGAAACTCACTCCAAAGACTAGGCTGGCCTCTAACTCACAGAGATCCTCCTGCCTCTGCGCCACCACTGCTGGCCTCTCTCTTTTTTTTTTTTTCTAGAGATCTTATTACAATTTTTATTTTTGTGTGTATGGTTTTGTGGATGTGTGCAATGTCTGAAGAGGCCAAAAGAGGGCATAAAAGCTGGGTGGTGGTGGTGCACGCCTTCAATCCCTGTATTGGGGAGGCAGAGGCAGGTGGATCTCTATGAGTTCGAGGCCAGCCTGATCTACAGAGTGAGTTCCAGGACAGCCAGAGCTACACACAGAGAAATGTCTCAAAAAAAATCCAAAAACCAAAAACCAACAATGAAAAGAAAATTAAACAAATAAAAATAAAACAAACAAACAAACAAAACAAAGTGTTGTAGCACATGCCTTTAATCCCAGAGGGCAGAGAAAGGCAGATCTATGAATTTGAGGATAGCCTAGTCTACACAGTTAGTTCCAGAATAGTTAGGAGTATACAGAGAAACCCTGTCTGGAAAAACTAAGCAACAACAACAAAAAAAAAAGATAACAGCATCAATAAAAATAGTCTGACTGGGGGCTGGAGAGATAGCTCAGTGGTTAAGAGAACTGGCTGCTCTTCTAGAGGACCTGAGTTCAATTCTCATCATTCACATTGCAGCTCACAAGTGTTTGTGACTCCAGTTCCAGGGAACCTGACACCCTCACATAGACATACATGCAGGCAAAACACCAATGCACATGAAATAAAATAAATACATTTTTAAAAAGAATTATTAAAAATAATCTGGCCGGGTGGTAGTGACACATGCCTTCAATCCCAGCACTTGGGATGCAGAGGCAGGCAGATCTGTGAGTTCGAGGACAGCCAGGGCTACAGAGAAACTACAAAAGAAACAAAAAGGAAGGTCTGATTATAAATTTAAAAATAAAATAAAACAGGTATATGACTGACCAACTTTTCCCAAATTAACATAAAGAACAAATGAAACAGCTCCAGGGTCTTTGTTCACCACTCCTTTTGTTGAATTAGAGCTCCTTTGCTTCAATTTGAAAGCCCCTGTCCTTCCCAAATGACCTGAGCTTATCTGGATCTGCTGGCAAGCGTTAGCTCCTGTTTATGTATAACATGGAGCCAGAGACCTATCCTCATGAGGTCCTCCTTTGCAGAGACATTAATCCTGTGTCTATGTCTGCAAGGAGAAGCTGTTAACACAGACAGCCACCCCCTCAGTGAAGTGCCACCCTTCATTTCTTGCAAACAGAACTGCAAATGTTTGCCAAGGCTCTGCCCTTACTTTCAGTGCCAGTCATGTCTGCCCCATGAGTCCACAGGTCTGCACTTAGGTTGTGTGAGGAAGTTGACTGCAGAAGCTTGAGGGGCTCAGGATTTTGGATATTTGAGAGTCAGGTGAGTCACTAAGTGGAGGAGTTAGGCAGGGGTAGGAGAGGTGGTGGCTTGAAGATAAATGAAGGTCCTTGCCTGAGGTTTATTAATTCCATGAATCTATGCTAATAGCCCCACAGGAGGCACCCAGTGTTAGAGCCCAGAACCCAGTAGACAGGAGAGTGTGAGGGAAGGGAGCTGCGGGGCAGGCGCCTGATGTGCAGACGGATGGGGAGCCCTGCCTTTCATGGGCAGGAAGGGTGTCCAGAGGTGTCATGTGAGTGGGACAGAAGGTCATTGTCCTGATTATCCAGAGAGTTTGTTAGCGTTTGACATGAGAATGCACAGGGCTTTCCTGGTAAGTGTGTGTGTGTGTGTGTGTGTGTGTGTGTGTGTGTGTGTGTGTGGAGAGAGAGAGAGAGAGAGAGAGAGAGAGAGAGAGAGAGAGACTGATTACTGACTGACTGTGTAGTTCTGCCTGGCCTGGAACTCTGTATGGACCAAGCTGGCTTGAGCTCACAGAAATCTGCCCACCTCTGCTTCCCTTTGATCCTGCTGAGATCAAAGGTGTCCCACTTCCCACTCCCCAGTGTGGTGAGATGCCGTTTCTCTGTTTCTCTTTGGACAGGCAGGGTGCATTTGCATCTGCTGAGAATGTAAAATAGATAATGAACAGCACGGCAGAGGAGAAGAGCCACTGTGGCTGGGCATTGCTGGTGAAGATAAGGTTTCAGTTGATCCTGAAGAATTCTGAGCACTTCCTGTTAGAAAACCCAGGTGGAGGTGGAGTTAGCTTTGGGGTTATGGTTTCTACTCCACTATGGAACCCACTTCCTGAGAGAATGTGGCAGCTAGGAAGTCTGACAGAGTATACAGAAGCCATCAGACAGATTTGACCTGTGAGTTAGTTACATCTTGTTTCCAGCATGCGTGTGTGTGTGTGTATACGTGTGTGTGCACACGCGCGTCCCTGTGTGCCTGTGTTCGTGCATACATGCATGTGTATATGTGTGCATGTGAAGGCCAGAGGTTGCTGTCAGGTATCTCTCTCCAGTCCTCTGTACGCTACCTTTTGAGACAGGGTATCCACCGAATCCAGAGCTCACCAATTGGCTAGGTTGGCTGGCCATTTGCCTATCCCTACACCTCTGTGATGGGTTAAGGACATGTGCCTGGCTTGTCACATGGGTGTCAGGGAATCTGAACTCAGGTTTCAAGCTTGCCCAGTTAAGTGTTTTATGGACTGAGCCACTTCCTGGGAATTTTAGGTGTGCCTGAACATGAAAATGAATAAGACAAGTGAAAGTGCTTAAAACCCAAGTGAAAAGAGTGACAGGCTAGGATCTAGCACCGAGAAGAGGGGCTGAAACCACTGATCTCTGGGAGTCACCATTCATCCTTGTCCCATTGGTCTCCGTCTGCACATTTTTTTCTTTGAGACAAATCTCAACTCAGGTTGGTGTCAAACTCAGGATCCTCCTGCACCCCTTGCAAGTACTGGGGTTACAGGCCTGCAGCACCGGGCTTCATTCTCTCCCCTTCCTACGCTTCCCTTTTCCCATTTCTGTTTTTCTCAGACAGAAGTACTTATGGAACAGAATATTGTCACTTTAATAGTGGAAAATTCTGATATTTTCTTTTTTAATTAAAAAAAATTAGTTTGTGGGCTGGAGAGATAGTTCAGCAGTTAAGAGCACTGGCTGCTATGCTTCCAGAGGACCTGAATTCAATTCCCAGCACCCACATGGCAGCTCGCAACTGTCTGTAACTCCAGTTCCAGGGGATCCATCACCCTCACACAGACTTATGTGCAAGCAAAACATCAATGCACACAAAATAAAAATAAGTAAGTCATTAAAATATTAGAGTTATGTATATGTATGTGTATACACACACACACACACACACACACACCATGACATGCATGTGTCAGTCAGAAGACAACCCTGTAGATTTGACTCTGTCCTACCTTTACGTGGGTTAACTTGGGTCATCAGCCTTGTGCACCTGTGCTTCATCCACGGAGCCATCCCAGCAGCGCTAATTCTAGTATTTCCGGTGGATTTTGCTAACTCCATTTGTTTGTGTCTCACAGGTGAAGCACAGAGCCCTTCATCATGTCGGATGGGGATTATGATTACCTCATCAAGTTTTTGGCCTTGGGAGACTCTGGAGTGGGGAAGACCAGTGTGCTTTACCAGTATACAGATGGAAAATTCAACTCCAAATTCATCACCACAGTGGGCATTGATTTCAGGGAAAAGAGAGTGGTAAGTTCTACACCCTTCGTAAGAATCTAATCTGACTCAGCAAATTAGCAGGCCTTTTTAGTTTGCTTTGTAGGACTTAAGAAGACAAAGGTTGGGCCGGGTGTTGGTGGCGCACACCTTTAATTCCAGCACTCGGGAGGCAGAGGCAGGTGGATCTCTGTGAGTTGGAGGCCAGCCTGGTCTCCAGAGCGAGTGCCAGGATAGACTCCAAAGCTACACAGAGAAACCCTGTCTCGAAAAACAAAAAACAAACAAACAAAAAAAAAAAAAAGAAGAAGGAAAAAGAAGACAAAGGTTGGGACCTAAAATTAGAGTACAGAGGAAAGTGTGGCTGGGTGTGGCAGTGCATACCTTTAACCCCAGTGCTCTGGAGGTAGAGGTAAGCAGATCTTTGTGAGTTTGAAAACATCAAGGTCTATAAAGCAAGCAAGCAAATAAATAAATAAAAAGGAGGGGTGTTGTGCTCAGCCCATGGAAAGTAACAGGGAATCTTCATGGTACTTCATATAAAACCCTTTGACACAATTAAAGCATATTTTTCTTTTAAAAAATACTTCTTTTTAATCATGTGTCTGTGTGTCCCTATGAGTATATTCTCTCTCTCTCTCTCTCTGTCTCTCTCTCTCTCTCTCTCTCTCTCTCTGTGTGTGTGTGTGTAGGCCAGAGGTTGGATCCCCTGGAGCTGGAGTTGCAGGTGTTTGTGAGCCACCTGATGTAGGTGCTAGGAATCAAACTTGGATCATTTTCAAGAGCAGGCTATGCTCTTAACCACTGAGCCACCAGCTCCAGCTATAAAGTGAACATTTCTGTTAGCATCTCCCCTTGCTTCTCTTTTTCTGAATACTCCAGAATGATCCGTCTACCCTTGTCGTGAAGTCTGCCAGCCACTCTGTCCCTTCTGTTCCTGTTGTCTGGGCTGGGCCTTACATTTTTGTTATTGTCTCATCTTTAACTGCAGCTCTCTTAACTGAAGCCCGTAGTTCCACACGAAACCCTGTGTACCAGCAGTGTGAGAACGGGATGAGTGTGGGATGCTGCCGGTGATGCCGTGTGCTGCAGAATGGTGTTGGGAATGCGTGTGTGTACTGGTGTTTGTATTTAAGAGAACCAGAGGAGTGCAGGGGCTTCTGGTGCGGAGAGAGGAGGGCAGGAGGCCACACTGTCACAATACAAAAGGAGAGATAGTGACTTTCCAAGAATGAGGTTGCTTGAAAAACCCAGTTACGTTGCCACTGGTAGGTCCAGTAAGGGTGAAGCCAAAGGGCCTTCAGTACATGTACTCTTGTCAGGGAAGTTCAGGGTCCCCAGCTTCTAGGACAGAACAAGTTATTCCCTACAGCCTATTATAGGCCCTTTCTACTACCAGTCTTGTTTTATTTTATCATTTTAGGGTCTTTCTATGTAGCCCAGGCTGACCTTGAACTCTTACCCCTCCTGCCTCAGACTCCCAAGTTCTGGGGTTACAGGTATGTGCCATCATACCCAGCAGCCAGAGGACCTTACAGAGACCCAGACTCACTGAGTGAGATGGATGTCCTAAGAAGTGCTCATGGTCACATAATTGGTGGAGTCATTGCATCATCCGTTTTCTATCTCTGGGCTGAATCACCATGGAGTCAACCAGCCTTATACAGGGTTATTAAGTCCAGAGTGATAGATGTGTGTGTCACATCACTGGCCCCTGTAGGCTTTCTACTGTCTGTCTGTCTTCTGTCTCTCCATCTCTGTGTCTCTGTCCTCCCCATCATCCCTCCCTTCCCTTTTCCCTCCTGCTCCCTGGCCCCATGTGCAGACTTTTTCTTGTCATTATTCTGAATAGCGCAGTAGCAATCTCAAACAGCAGTGATTTTGGAAGCATGTATATGTGTTGGTGAGTTCGATGTGGGTAGGTGGTTGTTTTTTTCTGATTACCTCTCACCTTATAACCTGGCTTGTTTTGTGCATGGCGTTCTGAAGGTTGAACTTGGGGCCTCACACATGCTGGGTGAGTGTTCTGCCTCTGAAGGGCATCTCCAGCTCTTCCTTTTGTTCAGAAGTAGATTTATTGATATGTAATTCTCAAGTAAAACCCATCTTTGTTTTTCTTTTTTTTTAGAGACAGGGTGTCTCTGTGTAGCCCTGGCTGTCCTGGAACTCACTCTGTAGACCAGGCTGGCCTTGAACTCATAAGAGATCCACCTGTCTCTGCCTCCTGAGTGCTGGGATTAAAGGCATGTCCTGGAACTCACTCTGTAGACCAGGCTGGCCTTGAACTCATAAGAGATCCACCTGTCTCTGCCTCCTGAGTGCTGGGATTAAAGGCGAGCACCACCACTGCCCAGCTAAAACCCATCCATTTAAAGTGTACAACTCAGCAGGTTTTTTTTTTAAGATTTTATATATTTATTATGTGTACAACATTCTGCTTCCAGGTACATCTGCACACCAGAAGAAGGCACCAGATTTTATAATGGGTGATTGTGAGCCACCATGTGGTTGCTGGGAATTGAACTCAGGACCTCTGGAAGAACAACCAGTGCTCTTAACCTTTGAGCCATCTCTCCAGCTCACTTAGCAAGTTTTTTCTAGCATATTCATGTGATATAACCATCACAACTATTTATTTGCATATTTGCTTGTTTTATTTCATTTTTTGGATTAATTTACCTTTGTGTATGAGCGCCTGTATGTATGGATGATATATATGTGTACTACATGTGTGTCTTGAGCCCACAGAGGCCAGAAGAAGGTATCCTATTCCCAGGAACTGGAGTTAAAAGTGGCTGATCATTTTAACTTTCAGGAGGACAACTGCAAATTTGATAAATAGCTGAGGATGACCTTTTTATCCTTCTGTCTCTCCCTCCCAAGTGCTGGGATTGCAGCCATGTGCCACCATGCCTGGCTTTGTGGTGCTGGGGATGGAACCTAGAGTTTTATGGATGCTGGACAAGACTCTAGCAACTGAGCTACATCCCCAGCTAGGTGTGGCTGTAGAAGAAGGCATCACTGCCCAAGTGCAGTTATTGTAACAAAGCACAAACCTGGTTGGTTGCATTAGGGACTCAGTTCTCTTGAGAAGTGTAGGTGCTGTGGGGTTTTGTGCTGAACAGAAGGTCAAGAAGAACCCACCTGTCTCAGACTCTCCCTTGATTTCTCTTTGCTTTGATGTTTTAGGTGTACAGAGCTAATGGACCAGATGGTGCTGTGGGCCGAGGCCAGAGAATCCACCTGCAGTTATGGGACACGGCAGGGCAGGAGAGGTATGTCCTCCTCAGGGCTCTCTCCACACTGACCTGGGCAGGCAAAGGCAGCCAACTGGCTCTTCTGCACCTGGTGAGAGGAGCTGCCAGATAAGTCTGTCGTCAGCCTCAGGTGACAGTGACTGACCGACATATTTTCTCCGAGATCAAAGGAGATGTGAAGCTCCTTAAAATTAAACCTTCTTACCGGAGATTCTTTATTTTCTCTCCCATTTTAGGCTTTCCCCCATTGCCTTTTGCTGTTTGCTCACCTGTAAGGGAGTCCTAAGGCTGCTTGTTTTGTTCTTATCTAATGCTGAAGCCTGGTGGAACATCTGGTTGGAATGAATTAATCTGGTCACAGGTCACTTAACTAAAATAAATCATGTGACATCTTGGTGCAAGACTGTTTTCAGTCAGCTACAGCCTTCGATTTCTCTCAGTCTCTTTGAAGGATTTTTTTTTCTCCCGTGTGTGTGTGTGTGTGTGTGTGTGTGTGTGTGTGTGTGTGTGTGTGTTCTCCTTGGTATGCTGGCACATGTGTGATGTGGGGGCCAAAGGCTGACATCAGGATTGCTTTGATTGCTGTCTGTCTGTCTTATCGGTTGAGACGGGATCTCTCACCCGAACCTGGTGCTCACAGGCACAGCTGGGCTGCAGCTTGTTAATGGATCCGCCTCTGCCTTCTGTGAGCCAGAGTTACAGGTGGTTTGCTGTGGCCACCTGATATTTATTTGGGTTCTGGGGACCCAAACTCTGGTTCTCAAGCTTGTATAGGAAGCACTTGAACCACTGAGTCATCTCCCCAGCCCTCTCTAAATCTCCAAGTGCATACAAACATGAAAAGGAGATTGAGTTGAATCTGTGTCACTTCACTCAGTTTCAATAATTATGTTGTGGCCAATCGTATTTAATATATCCTCTTGATACTTCTTCTCTCCCTCCCATATTACCCAGAGGGAAAACTTTAGATGTCATGTCATGCCATCTGTAGCTTTAGGTTTCTATCTGTAAGCAATGACGACTTTTCGTAAGAACAGTGAATAATATTAATTGAGAAAAACCTACTATTTTTGAATAGTTGGTTAATGTATACCCTGTCTTTCTGTGGAGCCTGCCTGCCAGTTACAGACTGAGTTCAGGTAAAGTGAGATGAAACCACAAGAGGGAGAGAAGGGACAGCAGGTAAAGCCTCCAGAGGCAGAATGCCAGGAAAGAGTTGATTCTGCCTCAACGCCGACCCCACCTTAGAGGTAATGAAATGGTTGTCAGAGAGAAGGGACTTCTTCAGAGCCTGAAGTGAGACCAAGGTGCCTGTAGTGTCAGGAAACCTTCCCAGGAGGAAAACACAAATGGCTAGCACTGTTGCTTTTGGCCCAGTGAACGCAAGGTTGTCCAATCATTTCCTGGTTATCAAGGTTACAAGGCAGCTCTCCATAGGGCTCAGTTTTCAATAACACATTCTGTTCGCAGTTAACTCATGGGAGTGGAGAACACCTGTTTGGGAGAGCATCATGGGAATTATTGATGAATCTTTGTAGAAGGCGGTGGGTGTCATTGGCAGCTTTATATTTCAGGAGTAGGGCCATCACATAGTGACCATCTGTTTTTGTTTTTGTTTTTTTTCCACCTAGGTTTCGTAGCTTGACCACTGCATTCTTCAGGGATGCTATGGGTTTCCTGCTACTGTTCGACCTGACGAATGAGCAAAGTTTCCTCAATGTCCGAAACTGGATAAGTAAGTTTCCCAGGGCCTGCTCTTCTCCTCAGCCTTGCTCTGCACTGCTCCTAGTGGACATCATGTTATGTCTTTTGCTGAAAACAGTCAGGGCCAAGACTTCCACGGGTTAGCTCTATAGCTTATGGCCTCAGATGACTGGCATTCTCTGCGTCTCTCCTTTGCTCCCCTGGAGCTACCTTCTCTCTGCTGGGGATCCTTCCACATCCTCTCAGGAGGGGTGAGACGGGCCACCCCTGTGTAGGCGCATGAACAGAGCTGAGTCCTCTGGGCCCACATGATTGGAATTGGGTCACCACCTGTCTTCCTGGAGTTAAGGACCGAGTAGGACATGTCTAGAGCCATTAAGCATCCTGGGCCAGGACAGTTCCTAATAAAGCTTGTAGGTAGTCTAATCCTCCAAATTCATGCATTTCCTTCTTCACTTTTACCCTTTATCTTTCACTCTGTTGTGAAGACCTCTATTTCCCCTTCTTTCTGACCAGTTAGAGCTGTTTGCTTTACTTGTTGATATGCGTGTGAGTGTTTTACTTGCCTGTCTGTGCGCTCATGCATGCAGTGTTTGTGGAGGCCAGAGGAGGGCATTGGATCCTCTGGGATTGGAATTACAGAAAGCTGTGAGCCACGATGTAGGTGGTGGGACTAGAACCTGGGTCCTCTGGAAAAGCAACCAGTGCTTTTAACCACTGAGCCTTTTTTCACCTCCAAGTTATGTTCATTTTTGTTGTTGTTTTGTTTTGTTTTTCTAGACAGGGTTTTTCTGTGGCTTTGGAGGCTGTCCTGGAACTAGTTCTTGTAGACTAGGCTGGTCTTGAACTTACAGAGATCCACCTGCCTCTGCCTCCCAAGTGCTGGGACTAAAGGTGTACACCACCACGGCCCGGCATTATGTTCATTTTTTAAAAACCTGGAAAGAAAGAACTTCTATGAAATGTTCCATATTCATCTTAGCTGGAATATCTCCTCTCTTATTACTGACTGCTAATTTTATTTTATTGTTTTAACACACAGCCGATCTTTAACATATCTTACCTCAGGTTGAAGCTGTTTAGGTATTTCCTTCTTTAGGGAAAAATTTCAGATAACTGATTAATTTACTTAATTACCCACTACTTTGTAATTTTCATACAAATGAGAGCAATAACATCCGATGGGTGTTGGTGGTGCACGCCTTTAATCCCAGGGCTAGATAAAGAAACCCTGTATGGAAGCCCAACCCCCCCCTCCACCCCAGAGAGAGAGAGAGAGAGACAGAGAGAGACAGAGAGAGAGAGAACAATAACATCTCTGAGACTCATCAGCATAGACATTGGCACTATGAACAGTTACTTACAGAGTCTTAGAAGTGCTTTGGTTTGTGAACTGAGTGCACATGTGCAACTGAGTCTCTTGTGGTCCCTTCCTATCCGTGTTCCTGGTCAGTAGATGTTGGGTAAGACCTAGAGTTTGCATTTCCAGTAAATTCTCAGCGGGTGCCTAGGCTGCTAGCTTACACACTTTACCAAGAGAGTCAGTGAATCAGTTAATCTTTCCTTTGACTCTGGGAGGTAAGTACTGTTGTGATCATTTATAGGGGAGGGAGCTAAGATGGTCAGGTTACTTCCAGGGAGGTGGGAAACTGGGGGAGGGCACAGCCATTCTTCAACTCTAGCAGATGCTTGTAGCCATGGTAACGGACATTGAAGGTGAAAGCATTGAGATGGACAGGAATTCTGGCACTCAGGAGCCACAGAATATTGTTACAGCTTGGATGGACAGGAATTCTGGCACTTGGGAGCCAAGGAATGCCACAGGTCACAGTTAGCACAGTTAGCCCTCCTTCAGGGAAAGGATTCCCCAGTGTAACAGCTCTGCTCCAGCAGAGGAGGGCTTCCCCAGCAAAGCTCCTGTGTCTCCTACCCCCCACGAATTTGCATGCCATCCTTGTGCAGGAGCCATGCTAATCTTCTCTGTATCGTTCCAATTATAGTATTTGTGCTGCCGAAGTGAGCACCAGGGTGTGGTCCTTTTTTCCCTACAGAGAGAGCACAGAAGAGACCAGTAGAGGAGACAATGGAGCAAATCTTGAAGGAAGTTTTGTCTGGGCATTAAAGAGTGTGGGAACTGCACATTAACAACCGAAGGGTAGAAGCCTGGCTTTTGCAGGAAACAGGGCACAGTTTGATCTTGCCTGGGCAGATCTTGTGATCTAAGTTGTCCCCTGAAGGCAAAAGACCATATCCTGAAATTCAGGCCTGTGTTAATGCTCCGGGGAAACTTCCCCCTACTTCACCTTCTCTTGATAAGATATGTGTGGCCTGACTTTGTGAGGAGGAACTGAAGTGTCAACACTCCTAGCTGATAGTGACAAAAACACACACTAGGTCATGCCTTGCTGAGACCACTGATTGTGAAAGTTCAGCTGCTCCAGTTTGTTCTGGAATGTGAGGAGAGAGAAGTTGGGTTTATTTTTCTTCTTTGGAAGATGGAGCTACTTTGCACCCCGGAGCTCTTGTTCTTTCTGTTTTAAAGACTTCATGTTTATGACTTTAAAAATCTGGCATCAAATGACAGACTCTGAAGACCCCTCCCCCCATGGAAGGCATCACCCTCCCTGGGGAGCAGAAAGGGTATGGGATATGTAGGGTGTTAGTTGGGGGGGAAGAGGGGAAGGAGAGGAAACTGGGATTGACATGTAAAACAATCTGGTTTCTAATTTAAATTTTTAAAAAAATGGAGGGAAAAAAACCTGGCATCTAGCAGGGCAGTGGTGGCTCATGCCTTTAGTCCCAGTTCTTGGGAGGCAGAGACAGGCAGATCTCTGTGAGTTTGAGACCAGTCTGGTCTACAAGAGCTAGTTCCAGGACAGCCCCCAAAGCCACAGAGAAACCCTGTCTCCAAAAACCACCACCAACAACAAAAATCTGGCATCTATGTAGGTAGGTGCATATGAGCACAGGTGCCCTGGGGGGCCAGTGTAGCTGGTGATGCTGAGCCTCCTGGAGTGAGTGGAGGGAACAGAACCCAGGTCCTCTGGAAGAGCAATGTGTGCTCTCGACCACTGAGCCATCTCTCCAGCCCCTCTCTTCTTTTCATGAAGTCCTGGTTAAAGGACTTTAGATGAAAGGATATAAAAATTATAGAATATGACTGTAGCACCCTTCTTTTCCTTGATCTTTGTGACAATCATTTTACTATTTACTCTGTCTACTTTTGTCATCAAACCATAGTTTTTGTTTGTGTAAGACAAGGTCTCGCTATGTAGCCCAGGCTATCTCTGAGCTCACAGAGCCTCTTGCCTCAGCTTCCTGAGTACTGGGATTACAGGCACACACCATCACACTCAGCTTCTTAATTGTTTGGAATAGATTGGCCCTGCCTTAGGATGACACAGAAGTCTGAGGAGCATTTCAGATATAAGCAGGTTCAATTATAGAAAGATATTTCTTAGCTCAGTTGGTAGGTATTTGCTTAGAACACATGAAACCTTGGTTACCATCTTCAGTACCCCATAAACTATTGAGGGCGCCATACCTGTAATTCTAGCACTCAGGAGATAGGAGCACTGAGAGCATTCAAGTGCATCCCTAGCTATATAGTGAGCTGGAGGCCAGCCTTGGAGAATACAGGATGTCTTAAAAAACAAAAAGACAACTCTTTACAAATATTACTACTGTTGAGAGAAAATAAAACAAATGACAAACAGGGTTTAAGGAACACACGGCCACACGGTGATCGTGCATGCCTTTAATCCTTTAATCCTGGCACTGGGGAGGCAGAGGCAGGAGGATCTCTGTGAGTTCAAGGCCAGCATGGTCTACAAAGAGAGTTCCAGGACAGCCAAGGTTACATGGAGAAATCCTGTCTCAAACAAAACAAAACAAAACAAAAACCCAAAACCCCAAACCATACCAAACAAAAACAGAACAAAACAAAGAGAGACTAGCCTCACCCCCACAAAATTAAAAAGAAGATGTAACAATTATATTTATTTATTTATTTTGGTTTTTCGAGGCAGGTTTTCTCTGTGTAGCTTTGGAGCCTATCCTGGCACTTGCTCTGGAGACCAGGTTGGCCTTGAACTCACAGAGATCTGCCTGGGATCAAAGGCGTGCACCATCAACGCCTGGCTATAAATATTTATTAATACAAAAAAACCCCAAAAGATTAGCAACACACAGGGCTGGGAAATGACTCAGTGGTTAAGATTCCTGACTACTGTTGCAAAGGACCCAGACTGATTCCCAGTACCCATGTGTCGGCTCACAACCATTTGCAACACCAGTTCCAGGGAATTTGGTGCCCTTTTCTGGTCTCTACAGGCATCTGTGTGCTTATAGTGCACATACATACATACAAACACTTTCACATAAAGTAAAAATAAGTCTTTAAAAGAATTCTTCCAATTTTCTTTTGAAGTCCCTTCTGTTTATAAATAGTATTTTTTAGTTTGTTCTTTGACAATTTCATATAGTGTCTTTTGATCATATTCGCCCCCCTTTCCACCTCCTCCCAATCCATCTAACTTCATATTCTCTCTCCCTCCCTTCCTTCCCCCTCCAAGACCCCCCCTCAAAAAAATAAGCAGTTTATTGGCTGACTGATTCTGGGTGTGGGCCTGCTCTGGAGTGTGGTCAATATACCAGGTGTCACTCCATTGAAGAAAATGGACTCTCTGTCTCCTATCAGCAAACAAATGCCAACAATTTCTAGCTAGGAGTGGGACTTCACCCCACCTGCCCTCCTTCATGGTGGACGTTTTATTAGCCTGAGCCTGTGTAGGTCTTGTGCATGCCATCACAATTTGAATTCATATATGCACCTGCCTGCCAAGTCTGGGAAATACTGTTTTCTTTTTTTTTTTTTTTAAGATTTTATTTATCTTTTATGTATACAACATTCTGCTTCCATATATATCTGCACCCCAGAAGAGGGCCCCAGATCTCATAACGGATGGTCATGAGCCACCATGTGGTTGCTGGGAATTGAACTCAGGACCTCTGGAAGAGCAGTCGGTGCTCTTAACTACTGAGCCATCTCTCCAGCCCAGGAAATACTGTTTTCTTGAAGACCTCTATCGCCTCTGGCTCTTATTATCTTTCCAACTTCCCTTCCACATACACCCCTAAGCCTTGAGGAGAGTGATGGGGTATAGACATCCCATTTCGGGCTGAGCATTCTGATGTCTCTTATTCAAAAGACAGGTATTTTATGACCTGTGTGAGCGTGTACACACACATACTCTCTCTTGTAAGGGTTATTGTATTCTTCCATATCTCTCTGATATAAACATACTAGTGTGTGTATTAAGGACAGGAATAATAATCCATTCTGTTTTAAAGATTATATTATTGATGCTTTGAAATATTCTATCAGCTCTTTACCTCTGTATATGCATTTGTGTTTTTCAGAAGCACTTTTGCAAATATTTTCTATTGATCATGCATTTCCATCATGACTATGTATAACAAACTTTCCTGTATCATAGGCCAGCTACAGATGCATGCGTACTGTGAAAACCCAGATATAGTGCTGTGTGGAAATAAGAGTGACCTGGAAGACCAGAGGGCAGTGAAAGAGGAGGAAGCCAGGGAACTCGCAGAGAAATATGGGTGAGTGTTCCTGCATGGGCTTTGGAGGAAACATTTGAACAGAAACATTAGCATGTGAGTAACTGAGAAAATCACGTAAAAAGCTTAGCTCATATTTCACATGAGTGTCACAGTGGCACTTACAAGAAGAAACATGGGATAGGGGTGTCCTCTGGTGTCTTGGTCCCCTTTTGTCAGTCTCTTGGAATTTGCAGGAAGAGAGTCTTGAGTGCAGACATACTGACCATAGGGCCTTCTGTCTGACATGCAAAGAGAAGAATATTTATTTACTTTGAGGCAGGGTTTTCTGTGAAGCCCTTGCTGTGCTGGTCTACTCACTCTGTAGACCAAGCTGGCTTTGAACTCAGAGATCTGCCTGCTTCTGCCTCCTGAGTGCTGGGATTAAAGGCGTGAGCAGCCTCTGCTGCTACCTCTACCACCTGGCTAACAGAAGACTCTTAGAATAAGGAAATCCTCTGTGTTCAGCAAGGAAATTTCAAAACCACTTTATATAGCATTGCAGAGCCCTGGCAATGGAGAAGGCCTTATTAGGTATCACAGAGCAGGCGCTGACTGGGAAGGGCAGGAGGTGGAGATGCTCTTTGGTTTAGGCTGATTTTGAGCAGAGGGCTGGTGAATAGTCTTCCTCCTTAGCTCTTGGAGGCACCACAGGGCTTGCACAGGAAGGAGAGGGTGAACTCCAAAGAAGTTTCTGTTTCACTCTACTTCCCTCTCCTGAATTATGAGAATAGGTTTAATACTCACTATTAAAAGTGGGAGGCAGGAGCTGGGCATTGGTGGTGCACACCTTTAATCCCAGCACTTGGGAGGCAGAGGCAGGAGGATCTCTGTGAGTTTGAAGCCAGCCTGGTCTCCAGAACGAGTGCCAGCATAGGCTCCAAAGCTACCCAGAGAAACCCTGTCTCGAACCCCCCCCCCCACCCTGCAAAATGTTGGAGGCAGGGATGGAGTGGTTGCTCAGCAGATGAGAGCACCTGCTCTACAATCACAAGGATCAAAGTTTGGACCTCATCACCCATATAACCGTCTGGGTTTCTGCTGCATGCCTATTACTCCAGCCCTGAGGGAGGCAGAGACAGGATCACTGGGGCTTGCCGGCTTCTATCCTACCTGAGATGTGAGTCCCAGGTTCAGGGAGAGACCCTGCCTTAAAAGACAGAGGGTGCTAGAGAGGGACACCTGACACCCTTTTCTGGCTTACATACCTTCATGCACACACATGCACATACAGTTACACATACAGACACATAAGCAAATCTTTAGAGCCGGGCGTTGGTGGCGCATGCCTTTAGTCCCAGCACTCGGGAGGCAGAAGCAGGCAGATTTCTGTGAGTTGGAGACCAGCTTGGTCTACAAGAGCTAGTTCCAGAACAGCCCCCCAAAGCCACAGAGAAACCCTGTCTTGAAAAACCAAACCAAACCAAACCAAACCAAACCAAACAAAACAAAAAACCCAAATCTTTAGTAGTAAGAGACAGGAAGCATGTTGGGCAGTGGTGTTGCACGCCTTTAATCCTAGCACTTGGAGACAGAGACAGGAGGATCTCTGTGCGTTTGAAGCTAGCCTGGTCTACAGAGTGAGTTCCAGGGTAGCTAGCTAGGCCTGGTACACAAAGAAACCCTGTCTTGAAAAAAGCAATAAATAAGAAAGAGGCAAGAAACAGATTTTTTTTTTTTTTTTTTGAGACAAGATCTCTGGTAGCCCAGACTGGCCTTGAACTCCATATACAGCTGTGGATGTCCTTGAATTCTTGAACTCCTGTCTCTACTTCCCAAGTACTTAGATTACAGATCTGTTCCACCATGCCCAGGTTTATTCAGATCTGGGAACTGAACCCAGAGTTCCATTCATGTTAGGCAAGCACTCGACCAGGGAAAGCGGCATCCCCAGCATGAAGGTGGGATTTAGAAGGGATGGGACAAGAGATGACATGGGTCTCATAGGAAGGGTACTAGCCTGAGGTTAGGGAGAGTCCAGGTAGGCCAGGGAAGGAGGGGTCCCTGTTGACTGTATGACTGCTGCTTTCTTCTTCTGTGGTCTGATGGAGGCTCAGGAAGGACTAAAGGATGGGACTGATATGGGGGCGGCGGGAGGCCTCAATGGAAAGTTAGGTTGGCCAGGTGGGAAGGTGGGAAAGCAGACTCTGGGGGCGGGGGTGGACTTTGACTATCAGCCAAAGAGACAAAGGGCTGGAAGCTTTTGAACACAGAAAAGTGTTACGCTTTTCCAGGTCACTTTGAGAGCTGCAGGTGCAGTAAAATGGAGGGCGAAAGACTGGAAGCCGGGAGAGGCAGTGATTTGTGAGGTGGTCAGGGGTTGGCTCTCTGGGAACGGAAAAGAGGGATACAGGAGAGAAGACACCCAGGGTGGGGCAGGGCATGACTTTAAGCCTCCAGCAGTTGCCACTTCACCTGGGGGATTCCCACCAGCCCTGCTGGCTTACTCAAGCATGGAGGTGCAGTGAGAAGCGGGGCATTTCAGGCCAGGGCAGATCGTGCGGGACCCTTAGAAACCCCTGGGAGCCTTTTGCAATTGAATGGGTGTGGGCCTCACCTCTGCTGATGAGGTCATGTGGAGCTGTTAGCAGTTAGATTTCAGTTGAGTGCTTGTCTATGACGAGATCCTGAGCTGGGGGGATGATGACACAGCTGACAAAATGCTTACAATGCAAGCCTGAGGACCTGAGTGTGATACCCTTCCACCCTGCCTCCAGAACCAGTGTTTAAAACCTGGTGTGGTGGTGCATGCCTTTAATCCCTGTACTCAGGAGGCAGATCTCTTTGAGTCTGAGGCAAGCCAGAGCTTCATACTAAGATCCTGTCTTACAAAACAAAACAAGTTGGGCATGTTAGCTCACTCGTTCAATCCCAGAGCTAGGAGTCAGAAACAGGTGAGTCCCTGGGGCTTGCTGCCCACCACGTTGGCATAATCAGTAGATTCCAGGCCAATGAGAAACCTTGTATCAAAATAAAAAGAAGGCGGATGATGCCTCAGGATGGTTGCTCAGGGTTAACCTCTGGCCTCTGCTAGCACATGCATATATGTGTACCTGCAGATGAATGTGTAAGCCTGAGTGTACATATCTGTTGCAGGGATTTGACCTTATTCCATTGTAGCTACATAGTCTCCGCAAATTTCTCTTTGTGTCTGATGCTGACTCTTGGGGTTGTCCACAGGAAGGAAAGCTGCATGCAAAGTGCGGTGTGGATCCAGGAAATGAGGACCAGTTAGGGTTCATAACAGTATCCTGAACCTCTTCCTCTCAGGTGTTGCCTCTGACATTAGTGGTGTGGGCATTCTACACAGGCCAGACCCTTCATCTTCAGCCTAGGGTGCTATGGAGAGGCAAGGGAGGTGGGACAGGCACAGATCTGGTTATTAGGCTGTGCCAAGATGAGTCAGCTGGAAAGTGCCTATGTATGAGAATCTTTATGTTATTTTTACTTATTTATTTTTTGGTTTTTTGAGACAGGGTTTCTCTTTAGCTTTGGAGCCTGTCCTGGAACATGCTCTGTAGACCAACCTGGCCTTGAACTCACTTAGAACTGCCTGTCTCTGCCTCCCGAGTGCTGGGATAAAGGGTACTACCTCACTTCCTCCAAACCCCTCCCGGGTTCCACCCTAACCAAAAAGCAAATTCTGGGAAATGCTTGGCTACAGTGGCATGCTGTGTGTGGTGACCTGGGCGCTGGTGCCTTTAACAGCTTGCCACATGATTTTCCTGTGCAGTGGTCGTGACTAACCTACTTGGGAGATTCTGAGCTAGAGCTGGCAGAGCTCGCAGGCAGTTCTGGTATGCCCCCTCCCTCTTGGGAGGCACTCAAACAGTGTGGAAAGGAAATGGGGGGGGCCCAGGGACGGGGATGGGGGGCAAACACCGAAAGACTGAAGTGCTGAAAGCGAGGCTGTTTTGCAAGGCGATAAGGAGGAAGTCAGCCATGAAGCAATAGAGACTGTGGTTATCACCATGCTTTTGAGGCGTGAATGAAAAAGTGGGCCAGGCTTTCAACAAGCGTTTCTCAAGCACCTGGGGAGGAGAAGTTCAACTTGTCCCCTCTCCAGTGCTTCATCAGCCCTTTTCTTGTTACTCCCGTTTTGGGTCTCAGGATTCTGTAGTCTGCCTGGTATTAGAGCTCCATGCTGTCTTCTGTTGTGCCAAGGATCTGGGCCATGTGGGGACTGTCTTTCCCTGTGTCCTGCATGCACCGGCCATGGAAGACACCACAAAGATGGGCTGAGTTGGGTTTAAATGGGAATTTTTGTTTGTTTGTTTGCTTGTTGAAGGCTTTTTTGTTTTGTTTTGCTTGTTTTGCACTACTAGGAATTGAACCCAAGGCCTCGCACATGCTAGGCGAGTGCTCTAACACTAAGCTATGCCCCATCTTCCAGGAGATGGTTTTTAATTGATGAGGATAAAGGACATGCCAGGAGGAGAGGAAAGGGCTGGAGGCAGTCATGCTCCTTTAGTCACCGAGGACAGGTGGTGGTGCTCACAAGCCACTTTGCCTGCTTTATTCAGAACGGAGGGAACCAAGAGGACTGTGAGTGAGATTAAAGGACAACTGAGCAGTGTACACACTTGTGTGCTGTGCACATAATTGGCCACAGACTTCAGATGACGACCCTGGGGCCCCTGATAGCCACTGACAAGGGAAGATGCTCGGTTTCTGCCGTGAGAGCTCAGTTGAAAATCTTTCTTCACACTAGGTGGTGGTAGCACATGCCTTTGATCCCAGCACTCAGGAAGGTACATCTGTGAGTTCAAGGCCAGCCTGGTCTACAGAGGGAGTTCCGGGGCAACTAGGAACAGACAGAGAAACTGTCTAGAAAAAAAAAAAAGAAAAGAAAAAGAAAAGAAAGAAAAGAGAAGAAAAGGAAACAAAGCCTTTCTTCAAGCATTTCTTCACAATGTCAGTGGCACACAGCAGACATCAGCACAGACCATGTTTTGGATTTCTGGGGGCTGAATTTGGCGGTGCTCTGACCAGCTCTGAGCTAG